AGACAACTCGTAAAAAACACATTGTGTGAATACGTTACTGACTAGAACACATAGATTTGAACCCGTGTCGAGTGGGTTAGCAATCGTGTGCCCAACCACTCGACCATATCGTCTCCCCCATACTGGCCACCAGTTGTTACGTTCTGGTTGTTTGTAGACAAACACCGTGTGACAACTACTCAGTAAGCAAAAAGAGGGAGAGTACCGAACCTTGTTTTCATCAAATTACAGTTACTGTGTTATGTCCCTTTTCCCCCACGTTTTTTGTACAATTATATAGGGGTATAAAATGATCAATAAAATGTTTCCATGGATCAATTTAGTAATAATAACAGTTAAATATTCTATTGTCATCCGAAACAAAGCTTCCCTGAAAATTTCAGCGCGCTAGCTAACTGGGAAGTGCCCGAAATTTCGATCGCAAGATTTGATTGGAAAAACAAACAAACAAACAGAGGCGAAAGCAAGTTAAAGAAAACGTGGGAAAAAATGATTAGTATTGTCCGAAAAAAAAACTTGATCTAAGTTCAGTGGGAAGTTTATAGGAAGGGCTAATTCGTTTAGGACTTGGGACAGTCTTTTTATGCTTTATCTTTGGATCAGTCTCTGTTGTGTTATAGTAAATAGTTGGATTATAAGTTTGTTAGATTAAGGTTATACAATTGACATACAATTGCACATAGCGTATACTGTTAAAAGTATATATTTTCTATATAAATTCCATTTCGTTCAGGGGGGGGGGGGGTAGACTTTCTCTGGGGGCGGGGGGGTGCTGGAAGAAACACTGGTAATAACCGGTTTAATGTGAGTGGCACCGCAAATGACGTTCTGATTAGAATCAGCATCGATAAAATGCTTATTAACATTCTAAGTCAATGTGGAATTCAAATGCATTGTCAAAACATACTAAATCAGGATATCTAGGTAAATACGATGTATCTTTTACTGTATAGCTCGGATCTTTGTTAAAGACAGTGGAGAGTGAAAAAGTGGTGGTTATGGCACAATATGAGAAAGACAAAAAATAACATCACTACGCAGGTGCTTGTGTGAAGTCCACGGGGAAAGAGGAAGAGAAAAAGACCAAATAAGTCCTGTAGGACCAGAGTGTACCAGAGGCGTAGCGAGGGTGGGGGTGGGGGTGGGAGGGGGGTACATATGTCCCCGGACGCCGAACTTAGGGGGCTCAAAATGGGTTGGAAAAACAGTTTTAGGGGGGGGGTGCAAATTGAAAGTTCGAGGGGAGGGGTGCAAATTGAAAGTTTGAGGGAAGGTGCAAATTGAAAGTTTGATAAGGGGGGGGGGTGCAAATTGAAAGTTTAGGGAGGGGTGCAAATTGAAAGTTTAAGGAGGGGTGCAAATTGAAAGTTTAAGGAGGGGTGCAAATTGAAAATTAAAAGGTTGTTCCCGAGTGGGGCGCCAAATGAAAGTTTGTCCCCGGGCGATGGGAAGGGTCGCGCTACGCCTCTGGAGTGTACTTTGTAGAAGGTGCAAGCTTATTAGGTCTACTTTTGATCTTGTCTTTAGAACAATTTCAATATTTTAATTTTAAATTATCAGTTAGGTTGAACAAAGTGATATAAAAAAGCAAAAATGATCTATTCAGTAAAATATACTAATTTTCTTCTCTCTTGAAATTTTGGCAAAGAGTGTCGCTATCCACCCACCCGCTCCGACAGTCTAACTACCAATTTTGGTGACCTTCCCTAGGGTAGGCGCCAAAGGGCGGCCGCCCTTCCCGCCCCACTTCCACCCTAGCTACGCCTCTGCATCAGCGAACGCTCTTTTTCCGCTCTGAGATTACGTTTTCTGAATTTGTTACATTTCATTATAAATTTTTGAAATTTATATTTTGTTACGATGTTGTACATTATTTACAAATTACAAAAAATGTCAAGAGCTTTTTAACAGACGAAATTAAAACTGAAGCATTGGGCACAGATTTAATTTAACTTTACGTGTCAGCTCTTCATTCAATGATTGAAACAATTTAATAAGTTCTAATTTACTCCAGTTCTCTGAATGTCCCATTTACTTGTGTCCATCGTTTGGTCTCAGTAGCTTTAAACTGTAACTCATGTGGTTTTTTAATGAATAGAGTTTTTTTTTTTTTAAACGATGGTAAATGGCAAAGTTAATAAGGGAGGGAAACGACGTTTTATTACAATAACTTTGCTGCAAACGTTACGTGCCCTTGAACCAGACGTCGAGTAAGGGAAAGAAATGAGTATAACTCAGTACTGTAAAAAGCAGCTAAATCGCTTACTCCGCCTGTCGAATAAAGGGAGTTTACACAATCAAATAAACAACTGAAGTTGATAGCTAAGGATTTATTCCCTTGGTTAAATCTAAAGCCAAACGTAATGACAAGAATACAAAAGTTTGTTCAGTCATTGTTAAAATATTTGAAATCTTTAATTAAAAATCTACTTAGATTAAAGATTAGATATTATTGTGATGCAATCAAAAAGTAAAAAAAAAATTGTAACACAGTTATAATAGGAATATACAAATAAATAAAAAAACATTTTAAAAAAAATCAAATAGACATTTTAAACGGAGCATTATGGTTGCTTCGTCACACCATTTGACTGACCAGCGACCGCGGACATTCGTTAAACACAACACCGAAGTACTGAAGTGGTATTCTATGGGTAACACAGAGTATACCATCTAACCACCTCACTATCCCTTTACACTATATATCCTATATCTTACTTTATCCCTAATCTAAAAACTATTCCTAAACTTATCTCTTCACATATCCTAAATCAACTCAAAAATCTAACCCTAAATTTAACCATAAGTAAACGTTACGCTTTATTATTTAAACAAAAACAAAATTGTTAAAAGTATTATAAAATACCATCATAATTGAAAATCGCACTTATGGTATGCGACAATTAGTAATCAGATTATCATAATTCAGAACACGTTAAACGTACAGCAAAATTAAATTTAATTTCGTGTAAATCTGATGAAACAATGAGACAGTTAGGGTTAGGGTTAGGGCTAGGCCTAGACCTAGGCCTAGGGCTAGGGCTAGGGTTAGGGTTAGGGCTAGGGTTAGAGTTAGGGTTAGGGTTAGGGTTAGGGTTAGGGTTAGGGTTAGGTTTTTAGCCTAAATCAGTGTCTAGAGTTGGGTTTGAGTTTGAGTTCATTTTAGTGTGAGGTGAATTCTTAGGTTTTTCTTCTTGTTCTTAAGCTTAGGATATAGAGTTTGAGTTAGAATCAGAAATCTATCTTGTTGGATGTGGTGGGGTAACTTCCTATGCGGGTAATTGACAAGGGGGTAATTGCTCTGGTGGTAAATACGGGGGTAAATGTCCGGGGGGGGGGGGGGCAATGTCCGGGGGAGGGGGGAATGTCCGGGGGGAGTGGGGGGTAATGTCCTGTAGCCCAGACACACAGAAATTCTGACGAAATTTCAAAACTGTTTTTCTAACGCAGGTAGGTATAAAACTTCGAAAAATTTGTATTATCTCGTTTTGATTTTTTGCACATTTACAATACTTTCTATATACTTGGTATACTAGAAAGTTAAAATAGATCATTATTTCGTCGTGTTGGTTATTAAATCACATGTAGGTTCAAACCATGTGTCCTTTAATTGTATAACTAAATTATGGATTAATTTTGACTTTTGTTCAGTTATTATATAAAAGTAGGGTCGAACTATCTGAATAATCAAAGCAGTGGCGTAGCCAGGATTTTTGGGCCCTTATGCAAAAAATATAATTGGGCCCCTACGTTAATCTGTGAATTGTGTATTTTATACGTCCATGGTTGTGTATATATACGGTATTATTATGAGGTACCCCTTAGCGTAAAATACCTTTGATTTTATATCACTTTTATGAAAAAAACCTACCAAATTAACTGTAAGCTTGTAACCTTTAAATAACCCAACACAATAGCTTCACGAGGCGGGGGCCTCATAATTTAGGTGTGACACCATGACGAAAACTTGTAAAATTTACTGTCAAAACGATGTTTTATTAGTTAAAATAATAAAATATTAAGGAGAGGGGGTATCACTCCACCGGAAATGCAAAATTGTTAGACAAGGTGGGGGCGACACTCACTAAACGCACCGGGTGATATCGAACCTTGTGACGCCAGGAACCAAATACACATTTTAAAAAGTTACTCATGATTTATTTAGATTCTTTTCCCTTTCTTATAAATTTGCAAAGTGATTAATATGTTCCTTGAAGTCCGACAATGCAACAATGCCTATAGTGTTATTAATACCGATTGGCCTTGTACAACCCCCCCTCCTTCCCTCCCCAGTAAGAAAGGGGCCTTTTTTTTTAATTTTTATTATTTCTACAGTAGAAAAGAAACTGGACTTCCGTTTTCTTTCAAAAATTATTTTTATAATACAAATATTAAAATTCCAATGTAAAAGTTTTAAAAATTTAAAGAGGGGAAAAGGGCCCCTCTTTGCCTTGGACCCCTATGCCTTGCTTACGCTAGCTTTACGGTAGCTACGCCACTACATCAAAGTTCGGTGTGTCGCGGGTCACAGGCAAGGTCTTTACAAACTTCAAGTATTGTGGTCTAGCTGGATTTCAATCAATTCTCTGCAAGTACGTGTTGGTATTCAGTAAATTGTCAGCAAGCACGCTACACTTCATAAGTATAACGGTCGTCACATTTAGGTACATTTATAATAGTTTGCTACACTTTACAAACAAAAAAAACCTAATTAAGAAAATAGAAGTAATTGAATTTCTTTTAAAATATTGATTAAAAACATAAGTGTGACTTCGTCACTGAGCCCTCCCTCCATAATCACCCCCCCAAAAAAAAATAATCCCTTCCCCTTACTGAGAGATCATTTATAAACCACATCACTCTACTTTTGTTTTCAAACGAGCCGTGCACAGTTGTGCTCCACTGACCTGTATTTTTCACAAAGTTACAGTTAATGACCCAGAAAAGCCTACTTTAACACTGGCGAGGTGACGTCATGACGCACACGGCTATAAAAGCAGTTGAAACAGGCACGAGTTAAATGGAATTTTCTAAACAAGCTTGGCCGAGGTCTACACTTGCACTATAGGTACGTTTTCATTTGTGAGTCAATTTATCTGTGATATTTTGGATCTGTCTAGATTTATTTGTTGGTCAACTTATCAATGACATTTTGTCTTTGTCTAAACTTATTTGTAGTCAATTTATCAGTGATATTTGTGGTTGTCTAAACTTATTTTTTTAATCAATTAATCAAAGGTATGTTGTTCTCTCGTTTATATCTACGGTATTTTCTCTTTCCTTTTCACTTTCTTCTCTCTCTCTCTCTCTCTTTCTTTCTCTCTCTCTCTCTCTCTCCCTCTCTCTCTCTCTTTCTCTCTCTCTCTCTCCCTCTCCCCCCTCTCTCTCTCTCTCACACACACACTCTATTTCTAACATTTGCTAAACAGAACACATGAAATAAATATTATACAGAAAATGAAGTGTATTTTCTATTTGATGCCCAATGCACAGCCCTTCTAATTAACTACTGCTACCCATATCAATTAAATGCAAGCTACAAATCATAACTATCACCAATACGATTAACAAGCAAACCCCTAAATAATAACAGTAATTAACTTGTGTATGTTGTTACTGTTATCTAAAAACTTAGTCCGCGATCGCAATTTTAATGATTTTATTTAAAAAAAATTATCAAAGATTTTACAATAGTTATGGTTCCATCTGAAAACTTAAACCATGTAGAAGTTCAAAGCAAACAATTAAACAATAAACAACGTTGAAAGTATTTTAAGAAATTAGTTTTCTAGTTTAGCAATGCCCGCCCTACTATCTACCCAAGTAAAGAATTGGCCAAGATTTCTAGCAGTCCAGCACTCAAGATACGCATCAATGGCCGTCAATGTCTCACGTGACCAGACGGCGCCCGTCAAGCCGTTCAAAGATATACCAGGTCCAGGCGGACTCTACAGGTGGCCTGTGATTGGAACAATGCTTCATTTTAAACCCTTTAGTAGGTAGCCATTGGTTGAACCATTAACTTGCTAGTTTGTTGTTAAATATTTAGTAGGTAGCCATTGGTTGAACCATTAACTTGCTAGTTTGTGTTTAAATATTTAGTAGGTAGCCATTGGTTGAACCATTAACTTGCTAGTTTGTTGGTTAAATATTTAGTAGGTAGCCATTGGTTGAACCATTAACTTGCTAGTTTGTTGGTTTAATATTTAGTAGGTAGCCATTTGTTGAATCATTGACTTGCTAGTTTGTTGGTTAAATATTTAGTAGGTAGCCATTGGTTGAATCATTGGCTTGCTAGTTTGTTGGTTAAATATTTAGTAGGTAGCCATTGGTTGAACCATTAACTTGCTAGTTTGTGTTTAAATATTTAGTAGGTAGCCATTGGTTGAACAATTGACTGCGTAGTTTGTTGTTTAAGTATTTAGTAGGTAGCCATTGGTTGAACCATTGGCTTGTTAGTTTGTTGGTTAAATATTTAGAAGGTAGCCATTGGTTGAACCATTTGCTTGTTAGTTTGTTGGTTAAATATTTAGTAGGTAGCCATTGGTTGAACCATTAACTTGATAGTTTGTGTTTAAATATTTAGTAGGTAGCCATTGGTTGAACCATTGACTGCGTAGTTTGTTGGTTAAGTATTTAGTAGGTAGCCATTGGTTGAACCATTGGCTTGTAAGTTTGTTGGTTAAATATTTAGTAGGTAGCCATTGGTTGAATCATTAACTTGCTAGTGTGTTGGTTAAATATTTAGCAGGTAGCCATTTGTTGAACCATTGACTGGGTAGTTTGTTGGTTAAATAATTAGTAGGTAGCCCTCGGTTGAATCATTGGCTTGCTAGTTTGTGGTTAATAAATTAAGTAGATAACATTTCGTTGAATCATTAACTTGCTAGTTTGTTAGTTAAATATTTAGTAGGTAGCCATTGGTTGAACCATTAACTTGCTAGTTTGTGTTTAAATATTTAGTAGGTAGCCATTGGTTGAGCCATTAACTTGCTAGTTTGTGTTTAAATATTTAGTAGGTAGCCATTGGTTGAATCATTGGCTTGCTAGTTTGTGTTTAAATATTTAGTAGGTAGCCATTGGTTGAACCATTAACTTGCTAGTTTGTGTTTAAATATTTAGTAGTTAGCCATTGGTTGAATCATTGGCTTGGTAGTTTGTTGGTTAAATATTAAGTATGTAGCCATTGGTTGAACTTTTAACTTGCTAGTTTGTGTTTAAATATTTAGTAGGTAGCCATTGGTTGAACCATTAACTTGCTTGTTTGTGTTTAAATATTTAGTAGGTAGCCATTGGTTGAACCATTGACTGCGTAGTTTGTTGGTTAAGTATTTAGTAGGTAGCCATTGGTTGAATCATTGGCTTGTTAGTTTGTTGGTTAAATATTTAGTAGGTAGCCATTGGTTGAACCATTTGCTTGTTAGTTTGTTGGTTAAATATTTAGTAGGTAGCCATTGGTTGAACCATTGGCTTGTTAGTTTGGTGGTTAAATATTTAGTAGGTAGCCATTGGTTGAACCATTAACTTGCTAGTTTGTGTTTAAATATTTAGTAGGTAGCCATTGGTTGAACCATTAACTTGCTAGTTTGTGTTTAAATATTTAGTAGGTAGCCATTGGTTGAACAATTGACTGGGTAGTTTGTTGGTTAAATATTTAGTAGGTAGCCCTCGGTTGAATCATTGGCTTGCTAGTTTGTGGTTAATAAATTAAGTAGATAACATTTCGTTGAATCATTAACTTGCTAGTTTGTTAGTTAAATATTTAGTAGGTAGCCATTGGTTGAACCATTAACTTGCTAGTTTGTGTTTAAATATTTAGTAGGTAGCCATTCATTGAATCATTGGCTTGCTAGTTTGTGTTTAAATATTTAGTAGGTAGCCATTGGTTGAACCATTAACTTGCTAGTTTGTGTTTAAATATTTAGTAGGTAGCCATTGGTTGAATCATTGGCTTGCTAGTTTGTGTTTAAATATTTAGTAGGTAGCCACTGGTTGAACCATTAACTTGCTAGTTTGTGTTTAAATATTTAGTAGGTAGCCATTGGTTGAATCATTGGCTTGGTAGTTTGTTGGTTTAATATTTAGTAGGTAGCCATTGGTTGAACCATTAACTTGCTAGTTTGTGTTTAAATATTTAGTAGGTAGCCATTGGTTGAACCATTAACTTGCTAGTTTGTGTTGTAATATTTAGTAGGTAGCCATTGGTTGAACCATTGACTGCGTAGTTTGTTGGTTAAGTATTTAGTAGGTAGCCATTGGTTGAACCATTGGCTTGTTAGTTTGTTGGTTAAATATTTAGTAGGTAGCCATTGGTTGAACCATTTGCTTGTAAGTTTGTTGGTTAAATATTTATTAGGTAGCCATTGGTTGAACCATTGGCTTGTTAGTTTGTTGGTTAAATATTTAGTAGGTAGCCATTGGTTGAACCATTAACTTGCTAGTTTGTGTTTAAATATTTAGTAGGTAGCCATTGGTTGAACCATTGACTGCGTAGTTTGTTGGTTAAGTATTTAGTAGGTAGCCATTGGTTGAACCATTGGCTTGTTAGTTTGTTGGTTAAATATTTAGTAGGTAGCCATTGGTTGAATCATTAACTTGCTAGTGTGTTGGTTAAATATTTAGTAGGTAGCCATTGGTTGAACCATTAACTTGCTAGTTTGTGTTTAAATATTTAGTAGGTAGCCATTGGTTGAACCATTGACTGGGTAGTTTGTTGGTTAAATATTTAGTAGGTAGCCCCCGGTTGAATCATTGGCTTGCTAGTTTGTGGTTAATAAATTAAGTAGATAACATTTCGTTGAATCATTAACTTGCTAGTTTGTTAGTTAAATATTTAGTAGGTAGCCATTGGTTGAACCATTAACTTGCTAGTTTGTGTTTAAATATTTAGTAGGTAGCCATTGGTTGAATCATTGGCTTGCTAGTTTGTGTTTAAATATTTAGTAGGTAGCCATTGGTTGAACCATTAACTTGCTAGTTTGTGTTTAAATATTTAGTAGGTAGCCATTGGTTGAATCATTGGCTTGGTAGTTTGTTGGTTAAATATTTAGTTGATAGCCATTGATTGAACCATTAACTTGCTAGTTTGTGTTTAAATATTTAGTAGGTAGCCAGTGGTTGAACCATTAACTTGCTAGTTTGTGTTTAAATATTTAGTAGGTAGCCATTGGTTGAATCATTGGCTTGGTAGTTTGTTGGTTAAATATTTAGTAGGTAGCCATTGGTTGAACCATTGACTTGCTAGTTTGTGTTTAAATATTTAGTAGGTAGCCATAGGTTGAATCATTGGCTTGTTAGTTTGTTGGTTAAATATTGAGTAGGTAGCCCTCGGTTGAACCATTGACTGGGTAGTTTGTTGGTTAAATAGTAGCTATGAGGTTGGTGTTGTAGAAACCACTGCTTCGGTAACTTGACTGACTTCAATTTAACGACTGACTTCACTTTGACTTCAGTATCTTGACTGACTTCACTTTGACTTCAGTATCTTGACTGACTTCAATGTAACGACTGACTTCACTTTGACGACTGACTTGACTGACTTCATAGACATCACTGACTTCGACTTCACTTGGTTTAACCATTGACTTGCTAGTTTATGGTTTAATAATTAGTAGGTAGTTTTTACTTTAACCATGTAGTTCGTAGTCGTGGTTGTTTACTTTGGTGAATAGCGATTTAGTGTCAAAAAACATGTTGAACCAGATGGTTGTGTAATCTAAGTTAGCCATTTAAGGGTAGGCCTAGTCTTTTGTTTCTTTAGAATTAAATTGTTGTGAATTCTTCAAATTATCTAGTGATAATTCATTGCTTCTCTTTAATGTAATCAATGGTAGCCTTTGCTTCGTTTTAAACCATCATATAGTCAGGTCTAGTATCTTCCTTTACATAATGATACACTCATTCATTTCTTTAATAACGTCTATAGTTGTCACTCATTTAATAAATTACTGCCACAATTATGTCAAACGGTGTAGGCCAGGGGTCGCCAACCTACGGCTCGCGAGCCGCATGCGGCTCTTTGGATGTCAAGATGCGACTCTCCAGCTCTGTGCACAGAGGCGTAGCGACCCTTCCCGGCGCCCGGGGACAAACTTTTCGATTTGCACCCCACCTCGAGATTTCGATTTGCACCCCCCCCCTCAAACTTTCGATTTGCACACCCCCCCTCAAACTTTCGATTTGCACCCCCCCCCTCAAACTTTCGATTTGCACCCCCCTAAACCTTTCAATTTATTTTTCCAACCCATTTTGGCGCCCCCTAAGGTCGGCGCCCGGGGACATATGTCCCCCCCCCCCCGCCCCCCCCCCCCCCCCTCGCTACGCTACTGTCTGTGCACAAATATTAATAGTTATATTATTTCATTTTCAAAACTCATAACAAAATTATACTGTAAAGAAACACAAGTTTAAACAGGATAAAAACATTCTTTAGAGAAGAGAGAGAATAGGTGCAGTAGAAAGTATACGGACAGCCGCTTGTGCAGCTCCACATCCGTGCTGTGGCCAGCCCCGTGGCAACAGTTCCATGCTTGCCACTGCCCATTGCCCAAGTGCAGATTTTTTCGAATATCGTTAAATGGGGAATGTTATTTTATTCAGAATGTATGTCTCTATCTGTCAGTAGTCATTAGTTTGACCTGAGTGACGTAGTTTTAGTTATTAGCTCCCTACTGTTTAGCCGGGTACTGGACGGTGGGGTACGAGATTACCTTGTGTTCAGTGGGGTGGAAGATAAGCCTTGTGAGAACCAAAGGACAGACGCGACAGATACACGGTAATCAAACCGATATTCAAGCCAGTTAGATTGAGTTAGCCGTGTTGAGGCCAGCCTGGCTAATTGGAGACACACCCTGAGCCGGTGATGACCGTATAGAAAAAAAAGTCAACTGCTTCTCAAGTGAATTGGGATAGCCCTATATTTTTGTTTTTTAATTACTAATGTCATTATTTTGGCGAAATAAGTGTATGTTTTTATGAGAACAAATATTATTTCATATTTAAAGATATTTATTTTTAAATAACAAATCAAATTTATTTACCTAACCCTAATAAAATAAGAAAATATTGAAAAAAAAATGTTTGTGGCTCTTTAAAAACTGGGAAATTTTGAAGATTGTAACGTATGGCTCTTCTGTCTCAAAAGGTTTCCGACCCCTGGTATAATAGGCCTACAACACTAACACAAGTAATATTCAAGGAATGGCTGCTTGCTACTGCTAATGTGAAAATAACAAGTTATTTAACAATATATGTAAAGAAATAACAGCAATTACTTAATTTCTCCAAAACATAATATGTCACATGACTTGTAATGTATTCAATAGCCGAGTACAATGCCGAGACGATACGTGGGTTGTTTGACTCGCTACATAAAAGATACGGCACCATCCTAAAGGTTAGGCTGGGTGAAATGACAGTCATGACCTCTGACCCGAAAGACTTTGAGACCGTGTTCAGGAACGAGGGGAGGTGGCCGGTGAGACCCCCTGTCGATATCGACGTTGTGTACATCAAGAGAAATAATTTAAAAGAGAATCTTGCTAGTGTGTAAGTAATTAGCTTGTGGTATAGTGTACATCAAGAGAAATAATTTAAAAGAGAATCTTGCTAGTGTGTAAGTAATTAGATTGTGATATAGTGTACATCAAGAGAAATAATTTAAAAGAGAATCTTGCTAGTGTGTAAGTAATTAGCTTGTGGTATAGTGTACATCAAGAGAAATAATTTAAAAGAGAATCTTGCTAGTGTGTAAGTAATTAGCTTGTGGTATAGTGTACATCAAGAGAAATAATTTAAAAGAGAATCTTGCTAGTGTGTAAGTAATTAGCTTGTGGTATAGTGTACATCAAGAGAAATAATTTAAAAGCGAATCTTGCTAGTGTGTAAGCAGTTTTTCTTCCAGGTTTTTTTTTCTCCGGGGGGGGGGGGGGGGGGGGAGGGGCCTTGAAATTTTCGGGGGGGGGGGGGGGGGGCGGTAGACTTTCTTCGGGGGGGGGGCGGACACTGTTAAAAGTATATATTTTATATATAAATTATATAAATTTCATTTCGTTCGGGGGGGGGGGGGGGCGGTAAAAAAAAGTTCGAGGGTGGGGGGGGAGGGGCTTTGCCCCCCCCCCCCCCCGTTTGAAGAGATGCCTGGAAGAAACTCTGTGTGTAAGTAATCAGTTTGTTGTAGATAACAAAAAAAAAAATTTAATTTTCAGATTATTTTCAAATATTTTCAATCTTTTGTACACGTTCTTCATGATCTGAGACAAATGTATATTAAAATCGATGTGTGTTAGTCACAAAAGGACGATGAGTACTAAATAAACTATATTTATATATACATACATACATGTATAATTATTTATAAATATATATATATATATATATTTATATATGTATATATGTATATGGAAACGAATTTAATTCTTGACTAGACAAGGCGAGGCATGGCAGAAGCTACGTACACCAATGAACAAAAGACTAATGAAGGCTGACTCCGCCCACCACTACATAGAAGCACAAAATGTTGTAGCTGATGAATTTGTTCATATTTTATCAACGAAAGAACTTGACGCAGAAGAAATGGCGGATTATTTCTTCCGCTACGCTTCTGAAAGTGAGTACAAGATGCTATGTTTTTTTTACTTATTCTTTGATTAATTTGAATGGTAGGCCTATGTCTGTGTTTATTGATCTTGCTTCTGGTTTACTTTCATTTTTAATAAATTAATTGATATATCGTGTAGACGTTTTGTGCATGTTTTAAATTTTATATCGGTGCTTCAATAATAACATGATACATTTTGCTCCCGCTACCCCCCCCCCCTTTCCCAATCCTCTAACATCCTCACATAAACAGTCACAAACCCTCTTCATGAGTAAAATTTGCTTTTTAAATTGATATTTATTATCTAAACAATAATAATTGAGTTGTTTCCCTTACAAAGAGAGTCAAAAATGTTTTTTAAATAATATTAAATTGCACAAAAAATAAGAAAATAAAACAAACTTGCTTTTATTAGAGAAGGCAACTTATTTTCAGTGCATTTAAACGCTTGTCGCTTTTAAAGGTTTTTTTATATCTATTTTTTGTTCCACTTTTTAGTAATTCGTTCAAAATGATGTTGACACTTTATAGGCAGCGACAAAAAAATTAACTGCATTAAAACCCAACCAGCAGTTTGCGATCTCTAAACTACATTAACCTGACACTAATTGGGTCTTGGTCGAAGCGCTAGAGAAGTCAGCCAACCATGACAAACAGTTCACGGTTATAAACAGGCTGATCGAGTAACATATTGCAATTTGTTGCTAAACTTAGAAGTCATTTCACTCAAATTTAATGTTTCATTAAAAACTGAAATTCATGCATTGTCACGAAATAAGAAAGTAGCTGATACAATTGAACGAATTCGCTGCATTAGATGGGGGTTAAAATTGAGTTACAAGATTTAGCACAAATCCACAGACGGCAAACGTTCATTACGAACTTGTAATGACAAGCATGTAGCCACTCTAACTCTTCACTAGATTTACATTTTGCCAGTGGCGTTGCTAGGTCGGGTGTCACCCGGTGCGGCACCTAATGGTGTCACCCTCCCCCCTCCCCCACCGAAAGAATTATATATATATATATATATATATATATATATATATATATATATATATATATATATATATATATATATATATATATAAATGGCTTGTAAGTATATGTATTTGTATTTAAATGTATCTTTTTACTTTTTCGTCTACAGAGTATAGAGGAAGTATTGTAATCGTGCACACAAATCACATATATAAATGTGTCATGTTTTGTTTAATGTAATACTATAATTAAATAACATGTAACAGCCTAATTCGACCATAATTCAAGGTATCGGTGTTGTGACATTCAACACCCGACTTGGATTTTTTAACAAAAGTGACGGGGGAGAGTCGGATGAGTTTTTACACGCCAGCAAAGAACAATTCAGGATCATCAACGACACCTTCTCTGGGAAGTCCGTCTTATACAAGTTGTTCAGGGACAAGACCTACAGGCGCTACGAGAAGGCGATGAATGTTATCATAAAGTAAGTTATATCTTCATTATTAACCAGTTTGTTATGTGACTTGACTGGTGCTTTGACTGGTATCTTGGAAGGTAAATCGACAGGTAATTTGGCAGGTAAATTCACAGGTCAGGTGTCTTTACAGATAAATTAACAGGTAATTTAAATGGTAACAGATTACTTGACGTGTACCTAGATAATTTTAATTTGCTTTAGGCACGCAGATAAACACACGAGCAAAGCCAAAGAATCCATTCAGAGCAAACTAGCAGACGGTAGCTTACACCCAGACGATCCGAACCTTCTCTTTTCGCTGATGGCGGAGAAGAGTTTGACGACTGAAGATATTTCATTTTTGGCAACTTCGCTGTACAGCGGTGGCACTGATTCGGTAAATGTCGATATTTAAAAAAGTCTTACAGAACCATTAGATTACAGCTCCGTTAGATTACACGCTCTATACATAATAATCAAATCAATTACAGGGCAATTAATTACAGATCCATTAATTTCCAAGCCCATTACATAGCAAGCCATTCAACTACAGGTCGATTAGATAAAGGGTCCACTAGATTCCACATCTATTACATTACAAAAGATTCAATTACAGACTTATTAGATTACACATGTGTTACATTTTGTGTCCATTGAATTACATGTTCATGACAAGACAAATTAACTAGAAAAGAGACCAACAACTTTACAGACCATTTTACCTCATACTGTGTTTGTAGATTATTACATCTTTGCATGCACATCTATTCTTCTATATTCTCATTGACCAAAAGACGGCCCGGAACTTGCAGTCTTTCTTCCACATCCTGGCCATGAACCCAGACAAACAAGAGCTCCTTAGAGCTGAGGCCCTGGACATTGTGGGAAAAGACAGGCCACTGACGGCTAAAAATCTGACAGCGATGCCTTACCTAAAGGCCTGTGTCAAAGAATGTTTTAGGCAAGTTCTTGGCATTCCTTTATGAAAAATAAAAGAGTTTTAAAATTACAGTTACCCAATTAAAACAGACACTGAAATAGGGAGTTTAAAATAGTATCAGCAATTTTAAATGAGGTACATATTATTTCTCTATTACACTTTTAACTCCAAAGCAGTTTAATAAATTATTGTCTAAAGTACATTGTATGCAATCAAACAATGGAATACTTATAATATGTTTAATGTTTTATTTAGAATCAACTACCCAACTGCAAGTGGTACCTTCAGGTATTTACCGACGGATGTTGTTCTAAGTGGTTACACAGTTCCGGCAGGGGTAAAGACGATTGTTGTAACATGTCACAGTAGTTATCTGAGCGTAACTTGTTATATACATCTATTGTTTTCTTTGCTGTTCTTCATCTACGTATTGTTTATTTCAAGCCTGATTTCTAAAAACGTTTCACGCAGCCATTATTTTTTTACACTAAACTTATTAAAAGAATTTCATTTATGCTCTGTGCCTAAGTAACAAAAACTATAGTTTTTAGGAATTTTACAAGTGAGTCTACATCTCTTTGCATGACCAAATGTTTAGATTATGATATTCTATAGTTTGTGCATGGATATTCAAAAAAACATGACATTGTGTCAGTGAAAATTGTAAAATGATCCGGACTACAAATTTGTGCGAATTAGCGATACATGCAAATTAAAATAAAAAATAAAATAAGTCTAAATTTAAAAACAATATTATACCTTAAATTAAGTGGCAGAATGTTGACAAAAAATCAGCACAAATAATTTTTTATCAAGTTTGCAACTTAATTATTTATTATTTGTTCTTCTGTCGAAAACTATCAACAATGTGTTGTCCTTAAAACCTCATTACTCTATAGCATAAAATAAAACATATTTCAACATTTCACAGTCCCCCATTGATCTACACAGGTCCCTATTGTCCTACATAGTCCCCCATTGATCTACACATGTCCCTATTGTCCTACATAGTCCCCCATTGATCTACACAGGTCCCTATTGTCCTACACAGTCCCCCATTGATCTACACAGGTCCCTATTGTCCTACATAGTCCCCCATTGATCTACACATGTCCCTATTGTCCTACACAGTCCCCCATTGATCTACACAGGTCCCTATTGTCCTACACAGTCCCCCATTGATCTACACAGGTAGGTCCCTATTGTCCTACACAGTCCCCATTGATCTACACAGGTCCCTATTGTCCTACACAGTCCCCCATTGATCTACACAGGTAGGTCCCTATTGTCCTACACAGTCCCCATTGATCTACACATGTCCCTATTGTCCTACATAGTCCCCCATTGATCTACACAGGTCCCTATTGTCCTACACAGTCCCCATTGATCTACACAGGTCCCTATTGTCCTACACAGTCCCCCATTGATCTACACAGGTCCCTATTGTCCTACACAGTCCCCCATTGATCTACACAGGTAGGTCCCTATTGTCCTACACAGTCCCCATTGATCTACACATGTCCCTATTGTCCTACACAGTCCCCATTGATCTACACAGGTCCCTATTGTCCTTCAAAACCCAATCGCCTGTATGGAACATTTCGAGAACCCCGGTCAGTTCCTGCCTGAAAGATGGCTGAGGACGCCAGACAGACGTAAACAAGAGAACATCGTCAACATGGTTCTGCTGCCCTTTAGCTACGGACCAAGGAACTGTCCAGGTCAACGGTTTGCTCTACAGGAAATCTACCTGGCCGCAGTAAAGGTATCTAGATCTTTTTGACGGTTCCATATGTCTAAGTGTATGCCCGTCCTGTTTGATGCAGTCCTAAAGGTATCTAGATCTTTTTGACGGTCCCATATGTCTAAGTGTATGCCCGTCCTGTTTGATGCAGTCCTAAAGGTATCTAGATCTTTTTGACGGTCCCATATGTCTAAGTGTATGCCCGTCCTGTTTGATGCAGTCCTAGATGTGTTTATTAATGAGATTTTACTTAAGTTACTTTTTTCTATTAATAACGGCAACATTGTATGGTTTGGCATCTTTGTAAATGTTCTGTTTTTATCTGTTTTTTCGGTTACAAAATGAATTGTTGGGTGTGCTAATACAAAATTCTTTCAGATCCTAAATATGTTTTAGTTTCCCGTCACTTTTCAACATATTACTTCTAAAAATAAGTCACAACAAAGTCAAACATGATGTCCAAATAATTGAGTCATACAAAACTCTGTGTTTCCAAACTTTATTGCAATATAAAGCTATATTTTCTTTCAGCCATAGCCTGAATCATAGATTTATTTGTTTTTCTATTATATTTTAGTCATAGTATTATTTTCAAAAGGATTTATAGTACAAATCTCCTTATTCGAGAGTTTGAATGCAGTCTTTACTCTTTAATATTAGTCAAAAGAAGGGGCTAATGCAGAGGAGGAGGGTGTGGGTGGGTTGGTGGGTATGTTTTACCCGCCATGAATCCCAAAAAGGACAAAATAGTTTTACATTCAGTGACAGCTTTAGTCTACGGTAGACTGATGTTGCTATCATTTAGTGCTTAAACACCAAACACTAACTAAACGCAGCCTTTATAGCATCAATGTATAGAAACTAGAGCAACAATGTATAGAAACTAGAGCAACAATGTATAGAAACTAGAGCAACAATGTATAGAAACTAGATCAACAATGTATAGAAACTAGAGCAACAATGTATAGAAACTAGAGCATCAGTGTATAGTAACTAGAGCAACAATGTATAGAAACTAGATCAACAATGTATAGAAACTAGATCAACAATGTATAGAAACTAAAGCAACAATGTATAGAAACTAGATCAAAAATGTATAGAAACTAGATCAACAATGTATAGAAACAGAGCAACAATGTATAGAAACTAGATCAACAATGTATAGAAACTAGAGCAACAATGTATAGAAACTAGAGCAACAATGTATAGAAACTACAGCAACAATGTATAGAAACTAGATCAACAATGTATAGAAACTAGAGCAACAATGTATAGAAACTAGATCAACAATGTATAGAAACTAGAGCAACAATGTATAGAAACTAGAGCAACAATGTATAGAAACTAGAGCATCAGTGTATAGAAACTAGAGCAACAATGTATAGAAACTAGAGCATCAGTGTATAGAAACTAGAGCAACAATGTATAGAAACTAGAGCAACAATGTATAGAAACTACAGCAACAATGTATAGAAACTAGATCAACAATGTATAGAAACTAGATCAACAATGTATAGAAACTAGATCAACAATGTATAGAAACTAGATCAACAATGTATAGAAGCTAGAGCAACAATTATAGAAACTAGAGCAACAATGTATAGAAACTAGAGCAACAATGTATAGAAACTTGCCTGCGGATTTTAGGTACGACTATAAGTGTCGCAGGAATTAATTAATTTATAAATAATTGTCTAAAACACAGTAGACCAAGGGAAAGCAGACTGATTTTCTTTCGCCTAGTGCTTTTATTACGTGTATGTTTTTACGAATTCAAATCACTTGAAATTCTTTTCAGTGATAGCGAATTTGAAAAGGAAACTGAAGACTAATTTAGTAACTGATTTCTTTACATAATAAAGTAAAACTGAAATAGATAAAGATGGTACTATTGATTCTCAAACTACAAGAGACCAAGAACTTTCCATAAATTCAGCACCTTCATTCGTTTTTTACGCAAAATGTAAAGTCAAAAATTTAAAGTTACAGTATTCGTGGTACCAAAGGTGGAACAGGCTGGAACTGGGTGACTTTCTCTAAAGTACTGGATGACGCATTTTGCAAATATTGTGTTTTGTTTTCTTTAAATTACGGTGTTGTATGTAGTCAGCCTTTGGATAAACTTTCTAAAATTCTATTTTCGAATTGAAAAAATAAGGCGGCCGACAATTTTAATGTGCACCAGCAATATGTGTATCATAAAATAGCAATTTTACGTTCCCAAAACCGTAAATCAGTTATGGACAAAAAAAATTACAATATCGGCTTCGCTCAAAATTCATCATCAAGAAAACAAGTTCGTTTTTAAAATTAGCGCTCCAAATCGAAACCATTTTTTTTTTTTTTTTTTTTTTGCGGCCGACAAGGTCTTGCACTTAAGGACCACAAGGAACGCTTCCATTGACTGCTAAAAACGTGCCTGCGAAATGCAACTTTCCAGAGTAGTCTAACTGGTTTGTATTATAAAATATCCATCGACAAATTTTATATCCAGCGTCCAAGAAGACTTGACATGCCATTGTAGCGGAGTCTTTTGAAATATACATTTTCTGTTTGTTATGCTACAGTAATTATATTGCATTTTCTAAATGTGTTACATATCATTTCTAGATGTTGTCAAATGGCTGCATATTTTAAAACAATACATTAAAACACTGTACTTATACCGCACAAGTTAACAATATAATTTAATTTTTTGTTTGTTTAAGCCAGGTTAAGTGTGTTAGCACTAAGCCACACGTCCCCCACTTCCACCGTCAACAATAGTCTGCACTAGTCGACTCTTTTTCAATGAGTGGTTTGTATGAAGCTGCGGGATATTTTCATTCAGGGTTATCTATTAATTGTAAAACTGAATAAAATATTTAAGATAAAAAACTGTAACAATATACAACAGGCTTTATTCTTTGAGGACGTCCACGCGGAGGCGAGGAGGCCAGAACAAAGCGACATTTTTAGATAAGAGTAGACAGAGAGGAGAGGGTCTAAATTATTAGCCTTATTTTAAAAATGATAAGTATGTTGGCGGCTTTTCTTGTGTGTAATAAATTTTGGGTTTGGCTCAGTGGGAGACTAGGTTGTATTGTCAGTGCTGGTGACAGACAAGTTGTTTCTTCAAATGGAAACTGGGTCGTGTATTAAAACATAAACATCAGATAACAAAAACTATACGAATGTAAGTAGTATACAAATGATCTTGCTACATTTGTTTTCGCCCCCAGGTTTTACAAAAGTTAAAGATTGACCTACTACCTGAATCACGTGATGTCCAGTTTGGTCACAGAACCTTCATCCATCCTATGAATTCAATTAAGTTTAAGTTTACTAAATTATAGTTACTAAAGGATTCTTTTTCCTGGCTCATCTATACTTAAAATGTCGAGAAGAGTAATTGTTCTAAAAAATGTAATAATTTTTTTATTAGCGCAATTTCCATTCTGGAGAATTGCGTTTATTAACTCGTCATTTCTGGGAATGGATGGATGAATGAATGTATGGATGTATGTGTGTCCGCAGCTTTAAGTCGTATCTCCTCCTCAACGAAGCAATATCGAGGACTAGTTCCAAAAGCAATTATGTTAAGCAAGTTACGAGGATGAACATAGGCCATAAAAATTCCGGGTTTCTTTCATGGATTTCCCGGAAAAGCCAAAAAACCTCGAAAAAATGCAGTTTTTGGCCCATATCTCGGCAACCAGACCACTTAGCGACTTGAAACATGTACCAATCGATTCCTGCCATAATTTAAACAATATTGCCGAAGAAAGTTTTCAAAAATATCCTTTCGTTCGGTCACAAAAAAAATTTTGAATTGATTAAAATTTGGACCAAATTAGTAGGTATTTTTATCCAACCACACCACACGCGTCATCACGTTCAATAGCTGCGCCATCACGTTCAATGGCTGCGACATTACGTTCGGTAGCTAGGCGCGCAATGGTTTTTAGTCATGTAACTCTATTGTAATTAAAACATGTAAAATACTGAAATTTTTTTTAAAATAAAAAACGTTTTAATAACTAACCAATGGTTTTACTAACCCTGCTCTTGATTTACGCTACGACAGAGCTATTTTTAGATAAGAGCTATTTTTAGATAACATAAGGAAATTGCGCTTAAATGTCACTAGACTTTTTAATTAACTTGTTGTTACTTTTAAGTCTTTTGTAGCCTACTTTTTCGTGTACATCATATTGTATTATCTACGAATGTTAGAAAAACATAGCACTTTACCTATCGATGACGTAGCCAGGCCATGAAATAGGCTCAGGATATATCATGTGATATTTGTTTGCTTGTCGTTGATGTGTTATATTTTATTCTGTGAAAAACCTATCTCTAAAGGACCGTGACGAGTGTTTATTAAGCAATATATACCCGGTATTGCCTGGTTCAGGAAATATTTTACTTTTCAATTAAATAGCTGTATGCAAACATTGACGTTTGAGAAAATAAAACATAACCCTAAATCTAACTCTAAACCTAAGCTTAACCCTAACCACAACCAACCACAACCAAAAGACAAACGCAAATACCAAAGCAAACGCCAACACAAACGATTTCCAACACGCAACTCAAACACACTTAAACATAAACGCAAACAATAACGCAAATAGCAACATAAACCTAAACATAAAGGACATTTAGGAACGGAATATACTAAGAAGTATATGTATTGTATAAAAATAAATAAAAGGTAGTATTTAAAATAACCGTATTTACATACCACGTTGCTCTCTATCACAACATGCTAATTAGAATTTATTTTTCCAAATTCAAACCAACTTAAATAAAGCGGGAGTGATCTCCCCTAAACTTTCTCGAATATTCCTATATAACACTTCGGGGAGTGGCAACTAGGGATAATGACAAGCTTTTTAATCAGTTTGTAAATAATTAGCTTAAGCTTTGAAAATTGAATAGAATTTCGTAGATAAAAGAATTGCGCACAAAATGAACAGCAAACAATGTGTGTATGATATTGCGGACCATTATTGCTTTATAGATTAAAATGCGTTTTTTTTAAATCATAAATAGCGTAAAATACCTCTTCCGATCACATGAAATTACTCAAAATTTGAAAGAAAATAGAGAATTAGATATTTTTCTTATATGTGAAATGTGATCTATCTATCGGTAACAGGCTTTTGAAAACTGTTAACGGGAAATCGCTGTAAAGTTGAAACAAAACTACAAATTTAATGTACACATTTAATTTTATCAACGGTGAAAACTGTAAAATTTCATATGATTTTTATGCATGATTAAAATACTTCCTCTGTACTCTGTATACGAGAAAGTAAAAAGTAAATGCTTTCTCTGCTTTATTGTTGTTGTTTTTTAAGTCATCAATCAAGTGAAGTTATTGGTACAAAGAGAAGTAATTAGTACACTTTTTTCAATAACATTGTAATTATTGCGAAGGGTAGCACATTTAGTTTAATTTTATTCTTTGCTCTTTGCACATTACTTCAAACAGAATTATAAGTTGTAAAATGAAAATTTAGTTTGAAAATGATCAATATTGAGTTTTTAAATCATCAATTTAGATTTTGGTACAAAACTTAAAACTTTAAAAGTATTACATTATGGCGATGAAGTTCTTTTAATATTATCCATGTCTTCCATAAACGTACAGAGGCACAAAGTCTGTTTCATCTTTATATAAGAACATTGAGTTTAAGCGGAGAGAGTAGAACAGAAAGAATGGAAGAACAACAAAGCCAGAAAAAGGAAGACCATAAAGAAAGTGAACACATTAATCTAAAAGTTACTGGTCAAGATGGTAGTGTAGTCCATTTTAAAAATTAAGAATAACACACCATTACAAAAGTTAAAGCGCGCTTATTTTAATAGAGTTAGAATACAAACAGGAGTTTTATGATTTAGATTAGATGGAAATCCTATAAATGATGAGGACACACCAGCTAAGCTGAAAATGGAAGATGGAGATTCTTTCGATGTTGTTCAACAACAGACAGGAGGCTGGTTGTCTCGGTCCTGGTAGAAGAAAGCTTGCAACACTAAATGACATTGGGATGGAGGAAAAGATGCTGATTAAACTGGGAAAGTGTAAAGATTTCCTCACATCCCATGTCATCTATAATTTTGTAAAATTCATGAATGTGTACATTTCATTTTGTTTTCCAATTCTGGCCCTAAATTTGCAGTTTACTGAGCTCTCATCTTTGGATCTTCCATCTGAATATAAACATTGTTATTTTAAGTTACTGTATGATCTGTACGTTACAACAGTTACTTTTTTTAAAATATAAGGAATTATCATTTTTAAAAATAAATTGCACGTTAAACATTTTTTTTTTAAAAATTAGATACATAAGCACAAGTAAAACGAGTGCAGCAGTTTAAAGCAAAGTAATTGTTCATTTAAAAAATCAAGTAACTAAGATTTTAAACTGCTATGATTCTGTTTGTATTCTAACTGGGACCTACATCCTGCCATCACTGTATGCTATCTTCGATCAATATTTAATTTTCTGTTTGAATTTTAAATTCAATTTGACAATTTATTTTACCTTATTTATAAGACGAAAATACAAACCGTTGCTTGTTTTAAATTGCTTTCAAAACGCTAATCTTTCAAACAGGTAATGGTAAGTTAATGTATGTTTACATATATCTATATAGCTAAAACAATGTTTGATTTTCTGTTTGTCTTTAATCATAACGCTAGAACCCTTTCATCCAATTGCCATAAAATTTAGATAGTTGATGATAATACACATGGTGCGGCTTCAAACCAAAAATATATACATTTTGGAGCGATAATGCCCCTGCAAAGTATGCACTGGTACCCCTGGCTAGCACCATGGCGACTTTGTTTGTTTCAATGAGTGCAATACACTATGGATAGATGTAAAAGTTTACTAAATCGAAACCAGCGCGTCTTTCAGGACCGGCAGGGTGTGATATAGTCATTGGGCTACCCGGTGAGTGCTACGGTATTTAACTGTTCACTAAATCTATTTAGATGCCTCATCCTACGACCCGGGAGACTGCAATTTTCCGCCCTGGGCTTCCTCGTGAGCACTATAGCGCCTTCGTTCGTTTTAAAGAGCACCCTCGGATAGGGACAAACTGGAGTTACTTTGATAACGCAGGGGGACGCATCAGGCGCACCTTCTGGTTTGGTGTAACCGATGGCTACCGATGGCTACAGATGGCTACCGATGGCTACAGATGGCTACCGATGGCTAGCGATTGCTACCTATGGCTACAGAGAACGCCACGCTATAGCTTTAAGACACGGGCGGTCAACGAGGTGTGTTCTCTCTCCTTAGTAGGGCGTGCACACAAGGCTTTCATACAGCACTCCCGCTGGCGTCTTAATTGTAAGGGGTGACACCCAGGCAAAAAATAGCAAAATATATACAGAAAAATGACAATGTCACTTAATTAAATGATTAATTAGAGTGAATTAAATATCCTTTTAAGAGCAAAGTGGACAAATCCCGATAAGGGTGGAGGTTGGGGGGGGGGGGTGACACCATGACGTAAAACTGCTAATGATAAAGAAAACATGCAACATCCGGCTTAATTTATAACCGAATATAGATTCAAATCGTTAGTATTATCTGAGTACAGTTTAAAGTAATCACCGTGGGGGTGACGGGGGGGGGGGGGGATGAGCTACATCAACTCAAGCTGCAATATATATGCCTGATGAAAACGGTTTGGTTGAGAATCTTAATAACCTAAATGTTAATCCATGTATAGGGTGGGGGTGGGGGTCCGGGAGGGGTAAAAAATTAAATACATCCAAACTACTACTAGTAGATTTGCAAATCGTACAATGTACCCTTTCACTAGAGCATCGTGTTTCAACTATTCCCACTAGTCCTATAGAAAATACCAGAGAGTAATATTTTCACCATTATTGATTAACTTAATTAATGTTGTATAGTCTGTGTATAGAAAAGTCACACAAATATCGCAAGGTGTGAGCTCACATCCAGCGATATAAGGTTTACATTGTTTTAGTATACTTTTTTCTCTTAACATATTTCTAAGTACAGATGCACCTATCTCCCAACAGCAAGCTAAAGCGTTGATTTTCAGGGTACTTTAGTCTACAAACTTTACAACGTTTTATATCCCCTATCGTGCTTGAAGGCAAACAGACAAGTGGATCTTATGCCGAAGTATTTATTTAGGGTTCTCACATCTTTATCATATGCGCCTGATATATAACTTATAGCCTGCTAAATCACATAATTCACAATATCGTGTGTTTTTTTAAAATTTGTCCTAGCCACCGCTTATTACATACTGTTTAGGCCACTTATGTGTATGTTAGTACCCACAAGTAGTTCCTAATCACGTACTTAACACACTCCAAATTTAAAAGTATTGCTAAATGGTATTGACATTTGGGACCGTTAATCATAAACACGAACACAGCAGGCCTTGTCTGTAATCGACGCATCTGTCAACACACTATGCCCTGAGCTGTCAAGGCCCTAAGGCTTTAAATATATGTATATGTATATCGATTGCTGTAGTTCACAGTTTAATAGGTTTTATAAGCTTATTGTTGTTTAATGTTTAAAGTCCGGTACAGCTGACAGATTTATGTTATTTCCATTGAATGTCCGGTACAGATTATAGTTTTTAAGCCTATATTTCTGTTGAAGAGATAAGAGCCATTATTAATAACATATAGAAAACACGGGAACAGGGCATTTCCCCCTGTCAATTACCCCCAGGACATTCCCCCCCCCCCCACATTACCCCCCGGAGTAACCACCCCCCCCCTGTTAATTACCCCCGCCCAGTAGGACATTACCCCCCCCCCCACGGACAGGGTTAGAGTTAGGGTTAGGGCTAGGTTTAGGGCTAGGGCTAGGGTTAGGGCTAGGGGTAGGGCTAGTGTTAGGGCTAGGGCTAGGGCTAGGGCTAGGGCTAGGGCTAGGGCTAGGGCTAGGGCTAGGGCTAGGGCTAGGGCTAGGGCTAGGGCTAGGGCTAGGGCTAGGGCTAGGGCTAGGGCTAGGGCTAGGGCTAGGGCTAGGGCTAGGGCTAGGGCTAGGGCTAGGGCTAGGGCTAGGGCTAGGGCTAGGGCTAGGGCTAGGGCTAGGGCTAGGGCTAGGGCTAAGGTTAGGGCTAGGGTTAGGGTTAGGGTTAGGGTTAGGGTTAGGGATAGGGTTAGGGTTAGGGTTAGGGTTAGGGCTAGGGCTAGGGTTAGGGTTAGGGTTAGGGTTAGGGTTAGGGTTAGGGTTAGGGTTAGGGTTAGGGTTAGGGCTAGGGCTAGGGTTAGGGTTAGGGTTAGGGTTAGGGTTAGGGTTAGGGTTAGGGCTAGGGTTAGGGTTAGGGTTAGGTTTAGGGTTAGGGTTAGGGTTAGGGTTAGGGCTGGGGATAGGGTTAGGGTTAGTATTAGGGCTAGGTTTAGGGTCAGGTTTAGGTTTAGGTTTAGGTTTAGGTTTAGGGTTAGGGTTAGGGTTAGGGTTAGGGTTAGGGTTAGGGTTAGGGTTAGGGCTAGGTTTAGGGTTAGGTTTAGGTTTAGGGTTAAGGTTAGGGTTAGGGTTAGGGTTAGGGCTAGGGCTAGAGTTAGGGTTAGGGTTAGGGTTAGGGTTAGGGTTAGGGTTAGAGCTAGGGTAGGGTTAGGCTTAAACCAATGTGTAGTGTTGGTTTTGGTTTTATATATATATATATATATATATATATATATATATATATATATATATATATATATATATATATATATATATATATGGTTTTGGTTTTATATATATATATATATATATATATATATATATATATATATATATATATATATATATATATATATATATATATATATATATATATATATATATATATATATATATATATATATCAATGTATGTGTGTCTGTGTGTCAGTGTGTGTGTGTGTGTCTTTTATGCATTACTACACCTCTCATCACATCGCCGTGAAACTTTGGGTTGTTGAGATATTCCTGGGGAGGTTTCTGCGAAAAAAAATGTTTAAATTCGCAGGGGTAGCGCGCGATTAGTTTTTACTGTATATACGGTATATAAAAACAAAAATTTCGAATGCGGTTCAAAACCGTTCATCCAATCCCCGTGAAACTTTGGGAAGTTAATTAGAACACTCCTGGTTAGGTTTCTGTGGAAAATCCTTCTTTAATGTCGCAAGGGCGGCGTCACGGGAGGGTGCGATTTTTCTCTATATACGATATATAAAAATAAAAGTCAATTGCGGGTTGACACCATTCATCTGATCATCATCAAACTTCAGGGAGTTGATTAAACACGCCAGGCGAGGTTTCTGTAAACCAAAATTTTAATTTCGCAAGGGCGGCGCCACAGGAGGGTGCGATTTTTCTCTATAAACCAAATATATTTAGACAAATGAAAGTCGGATGCGGTTCGACACCGTTTATCCGAGTGCCTTATAACTTTAGGGAGTTGATAATACTCCCGAGAAGGTTTCTGGGGCGTTACAGAAGTTCACTAAATTGAATCAGGCGCCCTGGTAGGGTGCGATTTGACTGAGAACAAAAATTACAGTTCCGGCCCCCAAAGGCTCACATGGTCCGCTGAGTGCCCTGTAATACGTTTAATTTTAATAATAAGAAAAATTAACCAAGGTTAGATTATTAAGTGGGATGTTTCTTTTTGTCCGTTAAAAATCCAAACAGTTTTTTTACTTTGCGAATGATGCAATTAGCATTAATTTTTAGACGATCCAATCAGATATTGAGATCGGGCATCTAATAATAGACCATTAGTAACGCTAACATAATGTATCAGCCACACTGATGTTTAAAACACGTCAAAGAATTATTTTACTTGTTAAAGAAAAAAAATCATGTTCATTGCATAACATAAGTGAATGACGCAATCTGCATCATTGTTAACAGGATGTTATTTGGCACGATGGCGCCTATGTTAGTTTTAGATTAAGTAGGCAGGGGCCGTACGCAGTACCTCTGCGATAGTGTAATTGGGGGCTCCCGAGAGCGCCCCTATATGTCCTTGACACATGGGCGGTCACCGAAGTGTGTTCTACCTCACTATTTCGGTGAGTGATTAACGTACATTCAAGGTTTTCATGCGGTAGTGTAGGTAAATCCGTGTCCCGATAATTATGATCCAAGCGCAGGCATTATTTACATTTAAATAACTCTTTTTACAAAAGAAGGCCACACGTCTGAGAATATAGGATTGATAACGCATTGATGAAACCCTTCTTATTTATTTCGTCAGCCTTTCTTCTATCCCCGCGGCAACGTGCGGGGACGGGTACGCAAGTTTTTATAAACAGTAATGGGGCTGAAATACCAATGGCAACCATTCATTTTATTTAAAAACGCAGATTAGTCTTGTTTTTGAATTTTCAGTGCATCAAATGCTGATTATTTGCTTTAATTGAGTGTAGGCTACTGATTCAGAAACTAATATTTCATTAAACAATTGCTCACGTTGTGGCGTTTTTGCCTTTGTAGGGCCATGTTTAACTACAACGTTGATGGGGTCATGTTTAACTACAGTCTTGGTGGGGTCATGTTTAACTACAGTCTTGGTGGGGTCATGTTTAACTACAACGTTGGTGGGGTCATGTTTAACTACAGTCTTGGTGGGGTCATGTTTAACTACAGTCTGGGTGGGGTCATGTTTAACTACAGCGTTGGTGGGGTCATGTTTAACTACAGTCTTGGTGGGGTCATGTTTAACTACAGTCTGGGTGGGGTCATGTTTAACTACAGCGTTGGTGGGGTCATGTTTAACTACAGTCTTGGTGGGGTCATGTTTAACTACAGTCTTAGTGGGGTCATGTTTAACTACAGTCTTAGTGGGGTCATGTTTAACTACAGCGTTGGTGGGGTCATGTTAAACTACAGTCTTGGTGGGGTCATGTTTAACTACAACGTTGGTGGGGTCATGTTTAACTACAGTCTTAGTGGGGTCATGTTTAACTACAGCGTTGGTAGGGTCATGTTTAACTACAGTCTTGGTGGGGTCATATTAAACTACAGTCTTGGTGGGGTCATGTTTAACTACAGTCTTGGTGGGGTCATGTTTAACTACAGTCTTGGTGGGGTCATGTTTAACTACAGTCTTAGTGGGGTCATGGTTAACTACAACGTTGGTGGGGTCATGTTTAACTACAGTCTGGGTGGGGTCATGTTTAACTACAGTCTGGGTGGGGTCATGTTTAACTACAGTCTGGGTGGGGTCATGTTTAACTACAGTCTTGGTGGGGTCATGTTTAACTACAGTCTGGGTGGGGTCATGTTTAACTACAGTCTGGGTGGGGTCATGTTTAACTACAGTCTGGGTGGGGTCATGTTTAACTACAGCGATGGTGGGGTCATGTTTAACTACAGCGATGGTGGGGTCATGTTTAACTACAACGTTGGTGGGGTCATGTTTAACTACAGTCTTGGTGGGGTCATGTTTAACTACAGTCTTAGTGGGGTCATGGTTAACTACAACGTTGGTGGGGTCATGTTTAACTACAGTCTTGGTGGGGTCATGTTTAACTACAGTCTTAGTGGGGTCATGTTTAACTACAGTCTTAGTGGGGTCATGGTTAACTACAACGTTGATGGGGTCATGTTTAACTACAGTATTGGTGGGGTCATGTTTAACTACAGTCTTGGTGGGGTCATGTTTAACTACAGTCTTAGTGGGGTCATGGTTAACTACAACGTTGATGGGGTCATGTTTAACTACAGTATTGGTGGGGTCATGTTTAACTACAGTCTTAGTGGGGTCATGGTTAACTACAACGTTGATGGGGTCATGTTTAACTACAACGTTGGTGGGGTCATGTTTAACTACAGTCTTGGTGGGGTCATGTTTAACTACAGTCTTGGTGGGGTCATGTTTAACTACAACGTTGGTGGGGTCATGTTTAACTACAACGTTGGTGGGGTCATGTTTAACTACAACGTTGGTGGGGTCATGTTTAACTACAGTCTTAGTGGGGTCATGTTTATATTTTGCCTTAGATGGGCCTCGTATTAATCCTGTATAAATGGTCTATATTTTAAATTATAAGTTGTGCTCAAGTAGGTAACAGCAAATCAGATTAACCCTGTTAAAATGATGTAAACCTAATCCAACAGACTCTGAATAAATGGCAGCACTAAACAGATGGATAAAAGCGGCACTCGGTACTCAGTGCAGGCAACACTGGATGTCCACTGTATCCGTGGATACGAGGAGTGAGCAGGTCAATGCCCGACCCTTCCGAGAGATTCCCGGCCCACGAGGCATTTACTTGTGGCCGTATATTGGTATCATGCTGCATTATAAACCATTCTGTGAGTACAGACTTATTTCATGCTGCATTATAAACCATTCTGTGAGTACAGACTTATTTCATGCTGCATTATAAACCATTCTGTGAGTACATACTTATTTCATGCTGCATTATAAACCATTCTGTGAGTACATACTTATTTCATGCTGCATTATAAACCATTCTGTGAGTACATACTTATTTCATGCTGCATTATAAACCATTCTGTGAGTACATACTTATTTCATGCTGCATTATAAACCATTCTGTGAGTACATACTTATTTCATGCTGCATTATAAACCATTCTGTGAGTACATACTTATTTCATGCTGCATTATAAACCATTCTGTGAGTACATACTTATTTCATGCTGCATTATAAACCATTCTGTGAGTACATACTTATTTCATGCTGCATTATAAACCATTCTGTGAGTACATACTTATTTCATGCTGCATTATAAACCATTCTGTGAGTACAGACTTATTTCATGCTGCATTATAAACCATTCTGTGAGTACATACTTATTTCATGCTGCATTATAAACCATTCTGTGAGTACATACTTATTTCATGCTGCATTATAAACCATTCTGTGAGTACACACTTATTTCATGCTGCATTGTAAACCATTCTGTGAGTACATACTTATTTCATGCTGCATTATAAACCATTCTGTGAGTACATAGGCCTACTTATTTCATGCTGTATTATAAACCATTCTGTGGGTACACACTTATTTCATGCTGCATTATAAACCATTCTGTGAGTACATACTTATTTCATGCTGTATTATAAATTATTCAGTGAGTACACATATATTTTATGTTACATCATAAACAATTCAGTGAGAACAATTTAATTTGTGTTAGGCTGCGCCTTCAAACTTTACACAAGGATTATAAGCTAAATTATAAATCATTTAGTAAGCACACGTTGATTTAATACTACATCATAAGCCACTCAGGGAGTACACGTTTATGTGATATAATATTATAAAGCACATTCACTGTTAAGCCGTCAGAATGAACAGTGATAAATTGGTAAATTGTTATGTTAAAGAATATAAGTGTATGCATTGCATGCTGTAGGGTTGTGTGCATGTGTATGTGTTTACGTGTACATATGTGTGTTTGTGTGTAAGTGTCATATGTGAACTTGTATGTGTGCATTTCTACGTGTTTTTGTGTGCAGGTATGTGTGTTTGGGAGGGGGGGGGGAAGTTAATTTGAAACGGGTGCACGTGTGTGTGTAGGTTTATGTGTTCTCGTTTACACGTGTAAATATATTTTTACGTTTCGAGTGTACACACACGTGTATATGTCTCCGTGTCCTTGTGTACACACTTGTGTATAATGACGAGGTCTAACAACGTTTTTCCACCAGCTCCTTACACTGCTGACACGACTTACCTGCTACACCGAGAAATGCACAGAAAATACGGCCCCATATTCAAATATCGTGTAGACAAGTTCATCGTCCAGACTAGCAGCCCAGAAGACATGGAAACTATATTTAGAAACGAAGGCAAATTTCCCTACCGTCCACCGGCAGAACTTGATCTTGTCTACGCGAAGAGAACCGGATATAAGCAGACCCTGGCATCCTTGTAAGTTCAAAACACTGTCAACCACCCCAACCCGATCGTAACACTTCGTTATAAAATATCCACCCCCCCCCCTCATCCCCCATACAAACACACATGACCACACTTAGGGAAGTAGCTGCATGACCTATATTGTTTTAATACATTGAGTTTTTTCCATTATTAACCAAAATAAATAAATAAATGCTATGACTACTGTTGATCATTTGCTAAATAGTAGTAAATAGACTAAAATTATCGATATTTTAACAACTTGAAACGTAATGTACTTTTTACCCCTTCTACCTCTTCACACAGCCACCCATGAGTCAAAACCCCTACCTCCCCACCCCAGCCACCACCCCCCCCCCGATTAGATTGTTACGTCATGTGTGTTTGACCTAATAGTAGTCACATATTACTCTAGTGAGACCATATTAAATTCGTTATGCTGTAGAAAAAAAGAACTATTCATTATTTTAAAATTCTCTAGGGATGAAAACATTTTAAAACATGCTCTACGTCTATATATATATAATTCTCTTCTGGGAGACGTTAGAAAACAAGCTGCAAGCGCGCCTTACAGTCCCCTCTCTTCCTCACTATCGCTACCCCCCCCCCCCCTCTCACATGGTCTGGTGAGCTGTGGTTCACGCTAAATGTTTACATAATACAATCGTAGAACCGGCTTTGGTGACGGCTATTAGGGGCAGATAATTTAGTTTTAAACGATTTTAAATTTAGAGGAGGTAACTAAGAGGAGGCTGCTTTCACGTCGGGGGGGGGGGGTAGTGTTTTAAAGCAAATATTTTCGGTGGCAGCATTGGTACTGTCGATTTCACAATTTATGCATTACTGAAAAGTAGAAAAAATAACAACTAAATAGCGGCGTATGACACACCGCGGGTCGGCTCGTATAAAATAAACCGGTAGTGATCTCCCCTAAATGTTCTCGAATATTCTTATGTAACACAACAGGGAATGGCGACGCGGGATATAGACATGACTTTTTAATCTATTTTCAAGTACTTAAAATTTTTAAAATAGAATAGAATCTCGTAAAATAAAGAATTGCGCACCAAGTAAACGCCAAACAAAATGTGTATATTAATGCGGAATATTATTAGTACTTTATATATTCACATGCGTTTTTTCATAGCGTAAATTACTACTTCCGGTCAAAGGAAATTACTCAAAATTTGACAGAAGATGGAGAATTAGATCATTTACTTACATTTGAAATTTCATTTATCTATCTGAAACAGTTATAGGCTTTTGAAAAATTGAAAGTAGAATAAGTTCCACTTCCTGTTATCGGAAAGTGCTGAAAGGTCGATACAGAACTACAAATTTGATATAGTACTTATATATGAAATTTCATCAACCTAACTGTAAAGGTACTCAGGTTATCGTGTTCACAGACAGACATACACGCACACACGGACATAATTGCAAAGCCTAGTTTTTCAAACTTGATTTCGCATAAAACGTAAAAAGTTTGATAAATCTGGATTTATTATTTTTGCCCGATAAAAATAAGTCCCCTATACTCTGTATATGATGAAGTACTGAGGTGTAAAACGATGAAAATTGTCAAAATTTCATGTATTTTTGTGCACGATTACAATACTTCCTATATACCATGTATACGAGAAAGTAAAAATATGTTTGAAATGTTCGTCTGTTAAAATCAATTTTTACAATGATATACTGATATCAAAAAATTAGAATACTGTACTGATGAAAACAATTTATAAAATGCTGTAATGTTAAAAACAAAAACTGTGGGTGTTGAAGGAACGGAGAAGAGTGGTACAAAGTGCGGACACCGGCCAACAAACGTCTGATGAAAGCCGACTCAGCACACCACTACCTCGCCCCACAGAACCAAGTCGCGGATGAATTTGTTCACATCCTGTCCACTCAAGAGATGGACGGTGAAGAGATGCAGGACTACTTTTTCCGTTTTGCTGCAGAAAGTATGCACATAGATAACAATTTCTATTGTAATTCCTTAATGTTTAGTAGCATTTTAAAATGTGACATTTTAGGAACCAACAGATAAATGATTTGTTTTTTTTTTATTTTGTCTGGTACTTCTATATGAAAAAGATACCTATTGCATATAAATACATTGATAAGCTTTTTCGTAATTGTTACTCTAGATCAGTAGCGTAGCCAGGATCGTCTCTGGGGGGGGGGGGGGGGGGGGTGGTCAAGCTTTCGATTTTCACCCCCCCCCCCATCAAACTTTAAATTTGCACCACCCCCCTCAAACTTTCGATTTACACCCCCTCATACTTTATATATATACCGAGGGGTCTATGGGGGGATTATGACCCCACCTACCATCCCTGCTACGCCACTGCTCTAGATAGGTTTTGCTTTCATAGCTTAAATCGGGGCGCATATCAGGTAGGCTATTTGAGTATGTGGAGCGGTTCTTTCTTTATCCACACACACATATACACACACAAACATATATATATATATATATGCGTGCATATTTCTGTGTATTTCAGTGTGTGCGTCTGTGTATGTGTGTATTTTAGTAGTCATATATGCGCTTGCTATCTATTATGTTTAGTATGGCTTTCTATTTGTTGTGAGAGAATATTATTTTCTGTTACATTTCTTTCAATTTCCATTCTACCTTGAAGCCATTGTACCATATATATATATATATGATTGTAAATTTACTTGCGGTACATTGTTAACAAAATTGGTATGTTTATAGTTCCATAAAAGGCTTCAACTCTTTGAAAACGATTACTGGAGCCACTTCCTCACCCCCATTCAATTCTCTGCTTTGTATGTGATTTCAGAGTTGTATTTTTTATGTAGAATTTTAAAATCTAAACAATCAATGTTTGTATTTTACGCTTGCAGGTATTGGAATCGTATGCTTCAATGCTAGACTTGGTTTTCTTAGCAAATCTGGATCTGAAGATGAAACATCCGTTGAATTTCTTAAAGCCACAAAAGCTATTTTTGACGTTCTGCTTCATGCATATACTGGCGCTTCCATTCTACACAAATGGTTTCGGAACAAAACATATAGAGATTATGAGAGAGCCTGCAACATCATCAAAAAGTCAGGATCTTCACTGATTGTAGATTATGTATAATTTAAAATGTAGACAAATAACAAAAGCATTGTATGTGTGTTTGTCTGTTTGTCTTTAATGCATTACCACACAGTTCATCTGGTCGCCATGAAATTTTGGGAAGTTGATTAGAACACAGAAGGGCAGGATAATTCTGCAAAACAAATATCTGTTTTCTTAATATCGCAAGAGCGGCGTCCAGGGAGGTGCGATCTTTCTCTATAATATACATTATATAAAAGGCAAAAGTCGGATGCGGTTCGACACCCTTCATCCGAGTGTCATAAAACTTTGGGGAGTTGATGACAATACTCCCAAGAAGGTTTCCGCGGAATTAAAATCTTGTTTTCGGTAACAGGGAGGGTGCGTATTTTGGCACGGTTTGAAGCACAGAGTTCCAGGGTGTCTAACGTTTCTCTTGGTATCCGTTAAATGGGCTTTTTGTGTAGCGGGTAAGGGGTACTACAATATTCAGCGGCAAATCTCCAACTTCAAATATTTATTTATGTTTAATCATTCAGTTGCTTGATCGTATTTCAGAAACTCAGCTCAACACATCCTTAGGGCTAAGAAAGCTGTCGAAGATAAGCAAAGGGCCGGTACTCTAGACCCAGAAGAGCCAAACTTTCTTCTCTCTCTGACCTCAGAAAACATCATGGACGAGAGATATATTTGCTCCATAACAGAAGTTCTTTATATAACCGGAACTGATTCGGTGAGGCTGACATGATGCAATTTAAATACATTGGTAGTCTTAGGCTTAACTTTACAAAACAAGCAATCCAGGATCTTTTCTAGAAAAAAAAAGTTAAACCCCGCTACACAAATAAAAAATTATAAAAGGAGTATCTGAAACTTGTATTTCTAGTTTTTAAACCTAAAAAATCCTTATTACCCCTAACCCTATAACCCCAACTCTAACTCTAACCCTAAACCAAACCACATACCTACCACTAATCGTAGAGTCGGATAAGGATTTGTTTTATGCCTTGCGCTTAAATATTCAAAACTTTGACGCTAGAAATAAGTCTATCATTCGTGCGTGCATAAAACATTAGCTGATTGCAGTGGCGGGGTTTAATTGTTAACAAGTTCCAAATTAGACAATTTATTTGTAAGGGAATTTCCAAAAACAGCAGAAATCGTATTTGATATCTTCGAAATAGTGATAACGCCAATCTAAATTTAATGTTAATCATTTAATTTAAGATTTTTTCATCGGTCTCCATAGTTTTACTAGTCAAAGCAAGTTGTTATAATTGATTTCTTATTAAATACAAAATTCTTCTATACTAAATAAACAGCCGTAACAGCTCTAAAAACGACATCATCTTGTAATCGATTTTTATAATACAGACAGGTCTTGATCTACTCTCACAAAAGGTCCACTCTTTATATAAGCACTCGACTACGTCCACAGACAGCGAGGAACCTGCAAGTTCTCTTCTACAACTTGGCCAAGAATCCAGATAAACAGGAAACTCTAAGGCGAGAGGTTCTGAGTGTCGTGGGCCCAGACAAGCCGGTGGATGCTCAAGCCTTGTCTAAGATGCCATATCTTAAAGCCTGTTTAAACGAATCGTTCAGGTGATGAACAATTAAACAGAACTTTGCAATTAGAATTAGACCTGATTCAAGCATTAATTAAAATGAATAATATTTTGAGGTGTACGAACTCAACTGCGACTGCGCTGTAATATGTTTATATTGTATATTGCAGGCTGTACTTTCCAACACCAACCGGCGTCATGCGAATCTTGCCAACTGATGTGGTCCTTAGTGGCTACAAGGTTCCTGCTGGGGTGAGCTAATCACATCATGTTTCTACCAAATCACATTGCAATCACACATGGTCACAAGGTATACACATAATGTTTCTACCAAATCACATCGCAATCACACATGGTCACAAGGCAAACACATACTGTTTCTACCAAATCACAGGTAATTTCTACTTCACCTGCCCCTTGTCATGCCAAGTTCCGAAGGGCAACTTTATCATTCACATCTAAAAAGAAGTCAAAGCTCAGCTAAAATGTTTTAATCATTTTAAAAAATCGATTTATTTATATAATATTATCTGAGCTCATTTGAATAATAAATGAACAATTTATTAAATCTAATGTCAAACTAATATAATTAATTAAAACCAATCGCGCGTGTTGTGATTTCGCACTGTGCACTATCTATGAGGGGAAAAATATATCAATGACATGATGTGTCTCGAACCCGTACCACCCTCATGGTGACTATTACACTATCATCATAGGGTGAAAATTTATTGGGTCATATTTTACTTGGATCCAGCGTAAGACAATTAAGTTTTGTAAATTATTTCAAATTAAATTTTATCCTAATTTAGCCTATTTCATTGCTAAACAAACAAAGATTATTATAAAACGAGCCGACCCGCAGCGTATCATACGCCGCTATTTAGTTGTTTTATTTTCTACTTTTCAGTAATTCATAATTTGTGAATTCGACAGTACCAATGCTGCCACTGAAAATATTTGCTTTAAAACATTAACCCCCCCCCCCCTTTCCCCTAACCCCGACCCTACACCCCCCCCCCCCCCACCCCCCGCGAAAGCAGCCTCCTCTTAGTTATTTCTTAGTTACCTACTGTAAGATTAAAATCGAACTACTAATAGAAACCCGGCTCTACGGCTCTACGATTTGTAAACATTTAGCTTTGTAAACATTTAGCGTGACCACAGCTCACCAGACAATGTGGGGGTGGGGGTGGTAGTGATAGTGATAGAGAGAAAGAGAGGGGACTGCAAGGAGGCGCTTGCAGCTTGTTTTCTAACGGCTCCCAGAAGAGAATTATAGAATTATAAATATAGATATTAGCGTAACAGTCTCCGCGCGTTGCCGCGGGATAGAAGAAAGTATGTCGTAATATTTTAATCATTGCGTTACTAATAATATATTCTTAGACGTATGACCTTGTTTTCAAAATCTTAGTTATTTAAATGTAAACAATGCTTACGCTTGGATCATATTTATCGTAGGATCGGTTTACCTACACTACCGCATGCACGCCTTGAGTGCACGTTAATCACTAACCCTACTAATATGCGCTAACGGTGCATATTGGAATACGACATAAGAATTTAGTTGACTGGTTGATTGTATGATGAAACAAACTAGAGGAAACAAACTGGAATTCAATGGACAAAACAGTTCGAAGTCTTGTATTTAGCAGATGCTCTGCCTTCTCGCATACAGTGAACATCTCACGTAGAACACACTGTATTTGTTGAAGAAGCAGTAATAATCGGTTTAATGAGAGTGGCAACAATGTGGAATTCATTCTCATCGTCATTGTCGACAATGGCATAAAAATTAAATCAGGATCTGTATCTAAATTTGAAGTCTCTTTATTGTTCGGAGCTATGTGGTTACAGACAGTGAAAAATGAAGAGAGAAAACCAAAAACGTCACGAAAAAAATTGTTTGAAAGAGAGATGGGGGGGGGGGAAGTATTGCCAGGGTTCGTGAAAATCTAGTGAGTTGACCAAGTGTTGCATAAGCCTATGCTCCCGAGGAAGCCAAAACGAATACAAAGAAAAAAATCTTACCCTGTGTTCCACATATATATGTTCCACATCCACTTTTGATCGTATCCTTAGAACAATGTCAATACTAGTGTAATACAGTTTTCGATTATCAGTCGTCGTGTTGTGTTTAGTAGGTCCAGTGACCTTAACTATATGAAAATTGCAGTATTAGGTATTATTATGAAACAAGTGTTATTTTTTAAAAGTAAAAATGGCTAGTGAAACAGTACATTGCACGTTAACACAATTGGTTTCTATCCTAAGTGATAAACGATTTATCTACTCACCGTTCTGGTGATCCCCCCACCCCCTACAACCACCACCATACAATACAGCTTTATCTATACAGGTTTTTATCTAGGTACCAGAAGACTTATCTTTACACTAACTTAATACAAATGCTTGCGATTTTTGTTGACGAAAACATGCCCCCCCCCCTCCACCACCCTCCCTTCCACCAAGTTGGACAAAGTAGGTGCATCGGATTTTTATAACACTAGCTCTTTTTTACTTTCTCGTATATACGAAGTATAGAGAAAGTATTGTAATCGTGCATAAAAATAACATGAAATTTTGACAGTTTTCACCGTTTTACTCCTCAGTCCTTCATCACATCCGGAGTATAGAGGACTTATTTTAATCAGGCAAAAATTATAAATATAAATATATAAACGTTTTGGCGTTTTATGCGTTATCGAGTCGTAAGAACTGGACAATTATGTCCGTATGTCTGTGTGTCTGTCTGTGTGTAAACACGATAACTTGAGTACCGTTACAGCTAGGTTGATGAAATTTCATATATAAGTATTTTATCAAAATCGTAGATCTTGATCAACTTTTGAGCGATTTCCGATAACCGGAAGTGGTACTTTTTCTACTTTGAATTTTTCAAAAGCCTATAAGTTGCGTACTATTTTAGATAGATGCATGAAATTTCACACGTAAGCAAAAGATCTAATTCTCTACCTTCTGTCTAATTTTGAGTAATTTCCGTTTGACCGGAAGTAATAATTTACGCTATTTCCGATTTCTCAAAAAACGCATGTAAATTTATAAAGTACTAATAATATCCCGCACTTTTATACATATTTTATTAGGCGTTCACTTGGTGTGGGACGGAGTGATCTAGCGGTAGAGAGCTGGACTGCTAACCCATTAGTCTCGATTTCGAATCCGAGTTCAAGTCAGTAGACCGTCCCTGAGTCCACCTAACTCTGATGGGTGCCTAACTCCTGTTAGGGAAAGTAAAGGCGGCTGGGCATAGTGCTGACCACACTATCTCTTCATATGCCGAGGTCACAGAAACAAGTGTACTCTACTTCACTTGCCCCATAGACCGTCAGGTTTGAAAGGGAAACTTTTCACTTGGTGTGCAATTATTTTTTTTTACGAGATTCTATTCTATTATAAAAAGTTTAAGTAATTAAAAATGGATAACAAATATTGTCTATGTCCTGAGTTGCCATCCCTCGTAATTTTATATTAGAATATTCGAGAAAGTTTAGGGGAGATCACTCCCGGTTTATATAAATTATTTTTAAATGTTACACATTCGCACAATACGCTTTAGTACATTTTTTTTCTTTTCTACGTTATAAACGTTATCTACTTACCTATGCAATTTAAATCCTTCCGATTTTAGCCGGCAACCTCCCCCCCCCCATCTAGGTAAAGCTGGAAAGCGGTTTTTTCCAGTCTCTCTTTCTTAAGGGTGTTTGTTTTACAGTTACACAATCAATGTAGAAAACTGTT